TCTTCACCATCGCCAGAAGCTCTCTCTCCTGAGGTAAACGGAGTTCCTGACAAGCCTGGACTTGCACCAGTGCCCCGCTGCAATCTCCAGCAGCCAAGGTATCTCTGGGGTAAAGCACCACAGAAGCCGCCTTTGGCTCAGCAGCGAGGGTCACACTGACCCAGGCACAATCTAACTGGCTATATTGGGATACCTATTTCAATAACTTGGGAGTAGTGGAAAAATTATAGCAACTCTGTTCCACTTCAAACACAGGTAAAAGATCCTGTCCTGCTCATTCAGAATAAAGTACAACAGGAATTTCTCTCTCAAAAGCCACTGAAGATTATTAAAGTTTGTGTGCACACTCCAAAATTCTAGAAAGCAATTGTACATGAGCTACAGAACTGACAGAAGCATCTACTCCTGAATGTGAATTACAAAAGCAGCATTTCAGAAAGGGCTCACTTTAGGTTCTCAGACACTGTTTTGGCCTTGTTATAATGTCCTCCAACGGGGTTTGCTGCAGCAACAATGGATGTCCGAGCTGGCAGACTGCAAACAATGCCAGCCTTGGCCAGGCTGATGCTCTGCTGCTCCATGGCTTCCAACAAAGCCTGGTGCTGGTTTCCCATCTTATCAAATTCATCTATTCCACAAATGCCTGGAAGCAATTAAAACAGGACAAAGACTTATCAGACAACACATCAACTGAAGGACAAGCGTGTCCTATAATCTAGTGACACATCAGAAATCCAACTTAGAACCCCAGGGACTGCAGGAGACATTGGAAAATCTCCATTTCTGCTAGCTTTGTTTTCATTCCATGGTAATGCAACCAAACACAATGAACTCAGCCTGACTTGGGGATGCAGCATTTTGGTGATTCATTAAGATGATGAAACAAGCTTTTTCAAATAGACATTATATCTCATAAGTGAGTCCTTTTTCAAAACCAGTCCAGCAGCTGATATCAAGACAGATCCCTGAACAAAAAAAATCCTAGCTCTTTGACACAGTAAGAAGTCTGGTATATGAACTGGAGAACTGAAGATTCCCTACACTCTAGGAAAGCAGGAATTGCCCCCAGAGAAGCCACTGGAGAAGCTCAGAACTTCCCATGGTATCATACTTCAAACAGACATTTCTAGCCCACAGTTAAGCGAGCACTTTGGCTTAGCTGAGACTCAGCAGCACACACTCTCCTGCCCCTTTCACATGGCTACACAGAACCTGTGGCATTCCGTGCATTACCTTGATCTCCAAGCACTAGGGCACCAGCTTCCAAGGCAAAATCTCCAGAAGTACCATCTCTGGAGAGTGTAACAGTCAGGCCAGAGCTGGTGGAGGTATTACCACAAACATACACACCTCGAGGAGCGATGTTACACACAGCCTACAAGAGAAACAAATACTTTTTCCTTCCCCAAAGTGAAGAATTTCATAAGCCTCATCCTAGAGAAACAATTCAAAGTAACCCCAAATTTGTTTCTTTCCACTGAATATGGCCCAACAGTAAAGCTCTAACTCCTTGCAACTCCAAGACACATAATTCTGCAAAGCAGTAGGAGTAACTTTTCTTGGATAGTATTCCTTTTTAAAACAACAATGTGAAAAAACAAATCAGTTACTCTATGCTGGAGAGTCCTCATTCAACAAAAGAATAATTTAAAATTTTTTTTTTGTTAAGATGCTTGCATGCAAATCCATCACCTTGGCTAAATGCAAATCATATTCTAATGCAACAAGCCCATGTTAGATGGACTTTTTAAAGAAGTTCTAGGTGAATTCTGTCCCTCTTGCATTTCACAGTAACCATGGAAAAAACCATGGAATTTAAAAATCACTCAGTTTAAGGGGAAAAAAATCTATTACTAATTGTCATAGTCAAGCAGAAATATCTGAGATCAAAGTCCAAACACAGCATCAGGTCCCTTTCCCAAAAAGATCTGTGCTAGCAACATGGAAATAAGGTAAGGAATGGAAGTAAACCTCACAGGAGGAGAGTCACAGGGTATCTGAAGTTGCATTTGTTCAAAGATTAATTACTTCATTTCACAATGGGCCAGCTAAATGAAGACAGGAAGGAGTGAAGCTCCTCACTGGGAAAAAAGGTTGGTGACAAGAACTGTGTAAGGGCAGGACAGCAAGCCTGTAGGCCTGTCCTTGAAACGCCAAACACCTCCTTTGGTGTTTAACAGGCTCCCTGGATGGCAGCAGAGCCCTCTGGATACTCTCCTGTACTTGAGGAATCCCACATGAACAGACAGCTCCAGCTCAGTCAACCCTTTGGTCACAGCACAGTTATCCTCCCATGGCTGCAAGTCAAGATAACAAGGAAATAAAGGAAAACAGAAAACAGTAATAAAGTAAACCATACTTGCAACATCTGACTTTTTCCTAATCCTGGATCTCCAACAACCAGAACATGTGGATCTCCTCGCACTGGGATTCTGTTCTTGTCATCCACAAACTTCTGACATCCTCCAAACAAGGCCAGGGCCAGCCCAGCCTTGACAATCTGTTGTGGTAGAGGCCAACACTGGTAAGCATTCCATTCCATTCCATTCCATTCCATTCCATTCCATTCCATTCCATTCCATTCCATTCCATCCCATTCCATCCCATTCCATCCCATCCCTTCCTGGTGACCAGCACTGACAGCTCCCTAGAACTGCCTGCAATGACCTTGCCTGCATCTCTGAACTTGAGGGTGTAAGGCTGCCACTCCCTGGCACAAAACAGACTGTGAGCCACAGTCTGTCACCATGATACTTTCTGAAAAATCCCCTTTGCCCAGGATTTTCTCCTGGGAAGCTGAGAAGCCTCAGAAAGGAATGAAAACAATAATTATCTGATTGCTGCTCCTGTGTTTGCTGCTTTGGAATGTGACTTGGGCATTGCTTACCAACAGGTGAATGTTTGAGTGGTTCCATGGGAATTGTTTTTTCTTAATGGCCAATCACAGCCAGCTGTGTCAGACTCTCTGAGTCAGTCATAGGTTTTTATTAATCATTTTTGTTAAGCCTTCTTATGTATCTTTTCTCTTTCTTTATTACAGTTTTAATCTAGCATTCTAGAATAGAATATAATATATAATACATAATATGTAATACATAATATACTTTAATATAATATAGTATGATATTATATGATATATGATATATGATATATCAGCCTTCTAAGAACTTGGAGTCAAATTCTCATCCTGGGGACCCTCACAAACACCACAACAGTCACCTGTAAAAACAGCCCCTGCCACCTCCCCCTGTCCCAGATAAGCTGTGTGAATCCTTTAGGAGTTGAATGGGGCATTAGCATTTCAAACTGGAATTACAAGTAGAGTTTTTAGATTATTTACCTCATGGCCATAGATTGCAGGACAAAGAGAGCTGGAATGCAAAGCGCAGGGTAACATAAGTGGAAGATAAATCATGTATTGCTATAAATAAACATTTGTCCTCTCTCTCATCACAGAACATCTTAATAAACATCAAACTTTTTGGGCAGCTGTTGCTGAATTTCCAACAGAAATCAGCAGCATGACATTTCTTGAAATTTTTGGATAAGCAGAGATGACTGAAACAAGAAAAGCTTTTCACTTGACTCCCCACAAAGACCAAGGAGAACCAGCTTCCCAGTGCTATCTGCACCTGTTCTTTCTTAATCAAGTGACTGCCTATAACCCTCCTTTTAAAGTGCTGGGTTTGTGTTCTTTGACTCCACTGGGAGGGCCTGAGGGACATCCCAGCTGGAAGAGTACTTTTCAGTCTGAACTGAGGGTCTTTCACACCCTCTGCTCAGTTCTTGCACCTCTTTCCTCTACTGTAGAAAACAGGAGGACAAAATGGTACTTGTAAGTTGAATTTACACGGTGAGGAACAAAATTAACTAATTGTTTTTCTACCTAGAGCTTTCTGTCTAAGGTTAAACTAGAACACAGGCAACTTCTTGAATCTCTAAACCACTCCCAAAGTCCCAACATTCCCACTGCAATACCTTCCTCCCAAGTCCCTTGCCCAATGAAATTTCTTAGATCTCTGTGGTTTCTATTACATGAGGCTCAGACATTTCACAGCTTTAGGATGAGCTGTCACATTTCTCTGACAGTGTCACACTGATTCACATCTAACCCTAGACCCAGTCTAGGTCTGATACAACTTACTTCACAATCAGCTTGAACAGATTTTCCTCAGCTTGAATTTCTTGGATAGCATAGAGGTCTTTAAGGGAAAACTCCATGAACGATCTCTGAAAGGACTCATCGTCAAAATTCTTCAGTTTTTGTCCTTTACTGTTGCTGACAGAATTTGCCTCAATGTACAGTAAGAATATACACTTGTCATTCTTGCTTTTAGCAGCTCCTGTTAGAAAAATTGAGAAAGGATGATGGAGCATTTTTCCTATCAATTTTATTATTATAATATGATCTACGTATTATCTATAAATGGCATAGACTAATTCAGAAATATAATGTAAAATTATGCTCATATTTAAGTACATCTGCGTTTTGTAAAATTGATGCAAAATAAGTTTCTAGCTACATTTGTTCTTTTAAGTTCCCTCCACTTATGTACACAATAAATACTTTCCTGAAATTGAGGATACATGTCTAGAGAGAATTTTGTCCCAGAATAAATAATTTTTTCCAGTGATTTAAAATTATTATATTATTGTTGTCAAAGCAAAGTTGAATATAAAATGTTTCCACTCAATATTTTGGGGAAAAAAAAAAAAGATGCATGGTGTGGAGGCATTAAACACGTAGCACAGTAATTACTCAGTAATTATCAATGAATAATTAATCATTTTCTATATAGATTGATTACTGAGCAGAGAATGAAATCTCAGAGTAAAACAGTCTTGCAGTTATCTGCAATGCATTCTTTCAGAGCAGTGCACAGCTATTTCTTCACTTCGGGAAAGAAAAGGAAAAAAAGAGTTGAAAAATTTTTCTAGGGAGACTAAACTAAGATAACTCTCCTTCACAACAGTGTGACAGTTCTCCTGATGTCTGAAGGAGATATTAAAGAGAAAATGTTAAGCAAATAATGCCCTAAAATAACTCCTCATTGCAAAAGTTTGGTAACTTCCAAAGAAATTTACACTTTATGGACTTATGGCATCAATTAAGGGCAGTAACTGTTCTTGTATAAGCACTACCAAAAACCCCACTGTGGGAAAAAGATGCTGCACTCACCTTCCTCAGTGCTTGCCACCTTCACTATGCCTGTGACAGTGACCATGTCCCCAGGGACACAGCTGTCCACCAGATCCTGCACCAGCTCACACTCGATGGTGCGCGGGATCCGTCCTGCTTCCCGCTGGTCATCTGCCATCAGCTCCTGCACCCTGCAACACAGCGGGGCAGCTGCACACCCTGCAGCACAGCAGGGCAGCTGCACACCCTGCAGCACAGCAGGGCAGCTGCACACCCTGCAACACAGCGGGGCAGCAGCACACAGCTCCAGTGCAGCTGCACACCCTGCAGCAGCAGCAGCACACAGCTCCAGTGCAGCTCTGGGCATTCCTCAGGTCACACTTCACTAAATGGGTATAAACCATGCAAAAAGCCCAGAAAAGCACCAACTGTGAACACGGAGTTGAAATGCAGGTTTTCTACCACTGATGAGCATGTTCATGTAGAAATAAATACAGTACATAAAGTAAAATGGACCCACATAAACTAAAAATTAAGAGGTATATATTAACATTATAGCCCCCATGAATTCTTAATAGGTATTCCAACCCTGGAAAAGTCCATAACGAGAGGAACAGTTGACTCTCTGGTTGTGACAGTTCTAGCTCTGGCTCTGCACCTGGAGCTCTCAGATTCCCTGGAAGCCAAGCCAAGCTTTACCTAAGAAGCTGTGATGAACAGCGCCCTCTGGAGCTGCTGAAAACAGCACGAGTTTTCACACCAATGTCACTTCAAACTACGATTTTTAACCCTCCAGTTTACTTCCAGCTCATTCACGTCCAGTGGCACAGCTGACCAACAGGGTTTTTCTAGCTGACTTGCAGCTCATTAAAGAGAATAATGAAATCATAGATACAATTAGAAATTACTGATAAATGCAGCAAAGAGCAGAACTGAGCATCTCTCCAAGAGTTTGGTAAGGACAGAAGGAATTTCCAGGAAACTATGACAGGGTAGGTTACAAAGTACACCAGCACTTGGATAAAACAACTCCTTTGTGATACAAATGTTGGAGAGTGCTTGCTACAAAAGAGTAAGATTATTAAAATCACACACTGTAACACAGGTGGAGCCATCCTGTCACTTTTTGAGTGTCCTGTCACATCACATTTTTGTGCTTACTTGACAGACTGCCAGTCCACTGTGGTGGTCAGAGGAGAGCTCCTGTCAGCTGTGAAGGAGCGGCCCCGGCACTCGGGAACAAGGCACTGCAACAACAGCAATTCTGACTCATTCCCAGCCTTTTTTAAAGTCCTGGGGTGAAATTATCTTATTTGATTAAAAAAAAAAATCCCCTACAAAGCAATAAAATTCAGCATCACTCCAGGAAAAAAGACAATTAAATTAGGGCTACAAATTAGGATGTACAGAATTATGAGGATCCATCAAGCACAGACACCTGAACCCTGACTCACAGCTGTTACAGCAAACACAGCAGAATTGTGTGATCCCCTCAGTGAACTGGTTTGAGAATAACCAGGCACTGTCCTACGTCTAATGGCTTCTTAAGTCCAGATAATAAAAATAATAAAGTAAATTAAACCAGAAAGTTTTAAACAAAAAAAAAAACAATGTAAGCATAGGAAACAACCACAGCAAGGTGAGTCTTTTTAAACAGAACTGGTGAAATGGAAATTAAGAGAGATAATATATTTTTCAGGTTTCAGGGAATTTCTGTGTATTTTTGGTCACATATCCTGTTCCAGCAGCATACATTTTTTACAAGTAACAAGGGTCTGAAGTAAGAAAAGTTGCAAGGTATAATAAATTAATTCTCAATGCGTCAGTTATTTAATCTAACTTTAAAGACTTTTTTTCCCTTTTTTTTAACGCCTGCAGTGCTGATTTTTGTGAAAACACAGCAAAAAGCATGAAATGCAATGGTTTTGGCTCACCTTGGTGGGAAGGGTGTACTTGCCATCAGGGAGAGGAAGAGCCTGCACATCCCCACAGGCAGCACAGACGAAGGCCAGGTTGGTGCACAGGGGTTTGATGTTGCTCACCCTCACCACGGTGCCACGCAGGGCGATGTACTTGCCGTAGCAGTTGGCCCTCAGGTTTTTCAGCTGGGTCAGAGGCTCATAGTTGTACACCCTGCATTAGCACACAGAAAATGAGGACAAAAATAATCCCCAAACCCATCCAAACACAGACAAAAAATCCTACATCCAGAAAAAAAAACGCTTAGAAGTATTTTTTTGGTGAATCCATGGTACAGTTTTTGATTCTTGCTCTGGAAAGCAGCAGAACATTCAATATTCTCACATGAATCAACCTCAATAGCCTCAAACAGTACAGTTTGTTTATCCAGTGACCTTCTGGTGTAGCAATACATTACTTTAAGATCATCCATAACTGTCTCTTTCCATAGCTTCAGATAAAGCCTGGAATTTAGACTTGTGACACAGAAGGACTAAAGTTTTATTATGGCTCTGCCACCAGCAGCAGGGAATTAAAAACAGTAATAAAAAAGAAAATATTTTTTAAAAGGTTATTTGAACTCCAATAGATCTTACACACCCAGACCCTTGAAGTGTGAGATGCCATTACTTCTGATAAAGAAAAAAAGTTCTAAGGACTTGTTTCATTAAAAACTTCTCCAGTCAACAGAAATTTAAATAATTCTGCTTTTATCAATACAATTCTATTTATAGAATAATTGTTCTGCTTATAAGCCACTTCTCTACTTACAAGCTTTTCTAGTTCAAGCTGTTTGTTCCGTTTAAAAGGAGGTTTCACTTCACTTTTTTCTTCACAAGGACATGAAGTCACAGTGAAGAGAAAAAGCGGAATGCAGAGTGTTCTCCTGGAAAAAGCTTCCCAAAGCCCAGCTTTCCCTTAAACATGCAAGCCATGCAGGGACGCTGGCAAGGATTAGGCAGGAAGCAAACAGCTTTTCCTTGGGAAAGGAGAAGTACCAGCCCCCCTTACCTGGCGTGGATGAGAGGCACGTTTATGACAGGCTCCCCCTGCAGGGGCAATCCCTCCTGCACCTGCAGCTCTGCTGCGTGCCTCTCCAGGTCCTTGGTGAGCACCTGCAGGGGACAGCAGGAGACACAGACACCCACAGGAATCACAACTCCCAACAGGGACAGACACATAGAGCTACATTCAGTTTTAGTCAACAGCTCCAATGATGAATACGAAAAATACACAAAGCAACGTCAAAATGTGATTTTGTGGGTCATACAGGAAGAGGAGAGATTGAAGGATTTGAGTTTTAAACAAACAGTAATTTGCCCTAAGAAAGAAAAACACAGAGATGTGGGGTTTATAACATAATGGCCTCTAAGTGCAACTGGTTTTTTTTTGTTGTCAGGGTTCTGCTTCCATGTATCAGTGTTTACCTGATGAATTGCCAGACCCATACACTGCAGTATTTTCTGAGGCATGTCCCTGAGTTCAGCAGATAGATTTGGTATTGATTTAGTCAGCTCTCTGTCCTGGATCAGCTCCTTATAATCCACGAGAATGCTTCCTTTTCTTTCTATTTCATCCTGGGAAACACCATAAATGACAAAATACACTTCAAATTAGAAGCAAAACACCCAAATTATGTCCTAAATGTTTCAGGTCTGTGATGGAGGTTACTTTTGATGGGGAAAAAAATACTAAAAATCAGGAATGTTCTTGTATCAACAACAGGTTGTTGGGGTGGGATATGTTTGGCTTTGTTTTTTACCTTGTCATAAAGCTCAATGCGCTGCATGAAAAACTTTTCAAAGGCTTGAGTCTTCTGGACAAAAGGAGACTTGTCATTGTAAACTAGTTAGAAACACACCACGTTAGTCACAGAAATAATTCTTTCCACTTCACAAAATACATAAACAGGTAATTTTTCTTCCATTGTTTTTCTGCACTGCAAAACTACAGAAGATGATAGATCTCCACAGGATCCCAGTAATGATCACAAAGGTTACAGCATATCACGAGAGTGAAGTCTTTATGGCATTTATGTTTTCATAGATGAAATTTTAGTTGTTCTTTTTTGAACTTGTAACTCTACTAACGCTATGTGTAATAAATTCTAGAAAAATAGGTTTTAAAATACCTTCAGAGAAATAAAGTTTCCAGCCCTTATAGGGAATAAACTGGTCCATCGTTGATTGGACTAGGCGAGATTTTGCTGGGGGAAGAAAAAAAATAAATAATGTGGATTGAAAGAATACAGAAAGTGAAATTTTGCAAGTTTTATTCTCAGTGATTCTTTTGACCCCGGAGACAAGGAGCTGTAATTGCCTAGCACAGTGCGTTAGGAGAATAAAAGCATTACGGCTTCAGAAAGCAGAAGCACAGGGGCTGGCTCACCAGGTTCGGGCATCCTTTTGGGCTCTCCCTTCTGTGCTCTGCCTCGCCATCCTCCTCCTCCTCCTCGCCATCCTCCACGCCATCCCTGGAAGCCTCTGCCCCGGGTGCATCCCCTGCCCCTGAGCTCCCTGCTCATCTCCCGCTGCCAGACGCGACAGCAAACCGAGCTGAGGAAACAAATTACACCAAAAGACGCTTAATTGAAACCGGTGCTGTTTCCAGAGGCACCCCGCGGCAGGCGGGCCCTACCGCCCCTA